TTCGTACCAGTTTTCCAAAATTTTCTTAATCATATGGATTGTTCTTATTATATTAATCAAGTGGATCCTATTTTAAATTTTAAATTTTAAAATTTATTTCTATATAAATTATAAAATTTATTAATTTTAAATTATGGAAGTTTGTTTTAAGATGAAGAAAGTAGCACCGTCATTCCAGGACAAAGCATTAGTATGGTGCTTTAGATTCTATATGGCATTTTGCTCTATATAATAAAATAAAACATGGTATGAAACATTAATATGCATTCTTATCACTTTTGTGGACATTGTATGACCTTTTCGTGAATATAACACCCGACCAGAATGGAAAATTAAAGATATAATCCAGTATTACAAACAATAAAAGTACATAAATTTATGGTAGTTAATTCCTTGGGACTTCGGTTTCAAAATGAGCCTAAACACGGCACATCAATGGCAATCAATCAAAGCATAATAGTAACCTACACCTCCGTCAAGCGATTCGTTCATTTTTGGCACAACCAAAAAAGCCTATGGCCTAACTGGCATCCATATATCCATATTGCAACAGCTACTGATTAGATTAGGTGGTCGAATTCAGGAGTTCTAGGTTTACTTTCGATTTATTTTAGTGATTTTAGCCGTATAATTTTTAATATTTTTTTAGTAGATCATTAATAAAAAGTTAAGTTAATTTACTCGTACCATAAAATTGGTCCACATTTTTTTAATACAGCATATTCTCAAAAGTTACACTCCATAGCTTGTTTTTTCAAGATAAATGCATTCCAATTATATGGCTATTGAGGTTTGACTAATTTGATATTTTACATTATCTATAAACTTAAAAAGTACTATACGAAGAATTACTAAAGGAAAGGTTGGATATGCCAATTAGTGGGTTTAGGGTTGGTTTGGGAAGCGGATTGATTTTTTAATTTTTTGATTTTTTTAGTTTTTTTTGACTATTTTAGTCTGGGTTAAAAAGTTTGGTTTGAGAAAGGTTTTTTAATTTTTTTGACTTTTTTAACTTTTTTTGTGAAAGAATAATGTAATGATTATGGGTTAGATGTGATATTTTATTTTTTGTGACTAAAATAGCATATTTTGTCTTTTGTGGCTAAAATAGCCAAAAAAACTCCTAACCTAACTTGCCAAACTGAGGCTTAGTTTGAGTTTTCTGAATTAAGTTTTTTTAAAATTAAGTTTTTTATTTTTTGTTTTTAGTGAATGTTTTATAAATTCTAAGCATTTTTTTTTTATTTTTTTAAATGCACATTACTTAAATGTATTTAAAAAGTAAAAAATTTGTGAAAAAAATATTTTAAAAAATTAACAAATACATAAAAATACAAAAAATATATTAAATTTTCATAAATTTTTTTTTTGTATTTTTGTTATTTATTGAATTTTTAAAAGATTTTTTCACAAAAATTATACTTTTATGTGTATTTATGTTAAGTGTGTCTAAAAATTAAAAAAAAAATCTTTAAAATATTTTTAAAAATTCAATAAAAATAAAAAAAATATGAAAAATAAAAAAATAAATTTTCTGAAAACTGTTTTCAGAAAAATGAAACCAAGCAAGCTGGTTCAGAATATGCAGTGTTTTTACCACTTTAAAGATGACAGAGGACGTGTGATGCTTTTAAACCGGTGCTTTATACATGTGGTTATATTATACAGCAATACTAGGTATCATGAAAAGTTTTTCATGAAAATGATCATGAAAGATTTGTGACCTTTAGATTACACTTAGAAAAAAACACCACACTAATCAAGATAATCTAAAAGTCATAAATCTTTCATGATCATTTTCATGAAAAAAATTTCATGATTCCTAACATTTCTCTATACCATATCCCTCTTTGTTTCTTTTTGTGATACTCGATATGTTTCGTGGTTTAGGCCGCGATTTTGAAAGATTGCTAAATCTTATTTTTATAGCAGTGAGTGATTGAAATTATCAAAATAAACTCGAAATAAATCCATAGCCCATGAACCCTTTAGTCTACTTAATAGACTAGAGGGAAGCTAAGGTGACGCTTAATAAAATTGAAAATTGAAAATTGAAAATTAAATATTAAAAATTGAATATTAAATTTTTTAAGTTGAAAAGTCATTTTATAAGTGTTGAAGTTAGGGGTGAGCAACGGATATATCGATCCGTCAAAACCGACTGAACCGAACCAATCCGCCGCATTTTGGACGAATGCGTGATGACGAGTGGACGGTTACGGATTGATTTTCTCCAATCCGCCAATTTAGCGGACGGATGGCGGATTTGAGGTTCCTTTGGCCGCAACCGAACCGCCAAACCGCGAGCACCCTTAGTAATTTATAAGACTTTGTGTTTTCCATTTGTTTAAATATTTTGTTTGTGTTTTCAATTGAAAAAGAGTTCAAATATTCTGTTGAAAAAAAGTTTTCAACCTGAATATATTTTTTAAATTGAAAAAAATAAATGTATTATTTATCTATATTTTTTGATTTTTAAATCTAACTCTAAAAGTAATAAATAGAAAATATGATATATGCTGCTGATTTTTGTTTTCAAAAACATATATCAATGTAACAATACAGAGACATACAATCTCTACTATTACCCTGTTCATGGTTTTGGTGGTTTGAATTGTTTTTATATTTTAAGAACCACAGGTTGTAATACTTTATGTGGATGAGACATGCTGTGATTGTAATATGTGGATGAGACATGTAGTGATTGTAATAATCTAAAGTTTCAAACTTTCTTTCTTTGGATGAGGCATGCAGTAATTGTAATACTTTTTTAAGTCATTGCCTGTAATACTCTTTTTTTTTTTTTTTTTGAGGAAGCACACAAGTTGAACTATATTGAAAATTTATAAAATTTCAAACCGCCAAACCGATTCGCATCCATCCGCCAAACCGCCAATCCGCTCAATCCTTATCCACCGAATTGGCGGACGGATGTGGATTGATTTTCTCCAATCCACCAATCTGGCGGACAGATGGCGGATTGGAGGTTCCGTGGCCGCAACCGACCCGCGCCCACCCCTAGTTGAAGTAAAAATAAATTGTTTAATATGTATAAGGTTAAATTTTAAATTTATTATTTTTAATTTATATATTTCAATTTTTATATTGTAGTTGTGGTGGTAGTAGTGATAATGATAGCGTTAATAGTGGTAGCGGCGGGGGGAGCCAAAAATCACAAATAGACAAAAAAAAAGTATGTCATTCTAAAGCTAAAAAGCCAAAAAAACTAAACAAGAAAACCAAACAAACAAAAGTCTCAAGCTAAAAAAGTCAAAAAATCAACTAAAAAAGTCATTGCCAAATAACCCTTAATCAATACTTAGGCCTCGTTTGGCAAGAGGCTATTTTAGCCAATTAGTCAAAAAGTTACTAAATTAGTCAAAAAGCCAATAACTCATACCAAAAAGTCAAAGATTCTCTTTTCTCTCTACTTTTTGCACATCTTTTCTTAATTAGCCAAAAAGTCATCCCAAACATACAAGTTTTTTTCACCTACCTTTTTAGCCAAATAGCCAAAAAGTTACTAAATTAACCTGTTCCCAAACGAGGCCTTAATACATTCAACCTTGGTTTGACTATCATTTTAGGGCTTAAAAAGTATAAAATGACAAAATAAACTAATAAAATAAAATATCATATTCAACCCATAATTATTATATTTTTTCTCTTACAAAAGTAAAAAAAGTCAAAAAATTCAAATCAAACAAGGCTAAAAAAGTCAAGCTAAAAAAGCCTCAATACAAAAAAGTTGGCTATATTAGCCAATGCCAAATGAAAGTTCAGTTTTATATACTAGTCTTCGTTTGGCATGTCAGACTTTTAGGCTATTCTAGTCATAAAAAGACAAAATAAATTTTGTAATTCAATAAGACAAAAATATCATATCCAAATAATAATTATTTCATTTTTTCTCACAAAAGTAAAAAATAATCAAAAAATCTATCTTAAACGAAACTTTTCAACCTCAAACTAAAATAATCAAAGAATCTAAAAATTAAAAAATCAACCCATATTCCAAACCAACACTCAATTGGATTATCAAAAACTTTCTAACATGATTTTTTTTTTTTTTGAACTAATTATATTACGAAAAATGAGTAAGAGCACTAATTAGTGCTACTACTAATGATGTGACAGTAAGTCCCACCATGAATGATTTAATATTTTGGCCATAATTTTATATATATATTTTTTTTATTGAGTGTCATGTCATTAATAATTTTTTTAAAATTTTAAAATTAGTGACCTCTATCATTATTGATTATATTACACGATAACAGCCATCGCATTTATATTGATGTAATGGGTTGGAAATAGGTGATTAGTACCCTATCCATAGCTAGTAATCTTTCCTCTAAGAGGCCTGCCTTAATGAAGCATATTGAAATGAAAGCTGGTACTTCTAAGAATCCCCCTAATCAAGAATGGATGTTTTGTATTCTATCTCCCTTAGCTCAGAAGAGAAAAACAAGATCAAGAAAATTAATATTTTCAAATGAAAGCAAAAAATATATATCCAATTTTTTTTTTTGGAACTGAATATATTCAAATTTTGAAATCCAGTACTATAATATCACTTAAAATTCACAACCATTTTCGTTGATCTCCATAATTTAAAAGCATAATTTTTAGTTTCTTGGCAGATAAATCCAAAAATGTTGTTCATGACCCACTTCCCCAATTAAAAATCAAAGGCTAGATATAGGGTATGTTTGGTTTGTGTTTGAGAGATGTGTTTTAGAAATAAAAAGTACGAAAACATGTTTGGTTTGGTTTTTTTTAAAAGATGTTTTGGAAAATTATTTTGAGATAGAGTTTTGGAAAAAATGGTTGATTTGATATGTGTGAGAGAGAGATTTGTTTGGAAAACTTGTTTGGTTTACAAGTTTTGAGAAATTTTTTTGAGAAAATTTGTTTGGTTTGATTATTTTTGAAAACTTATTTGTAGAGAAAATTTCCCAAAATTTTTTCAGAAAATCAAACCAAATGAGCCCATAGAGTTCGAGTAGTAAAGACCGGACAGCGAAAATATCAAAACGCAAAAAAATTAGTTAGAGGAGAAATTCCATGAAATTTTCCTGCTCAAGTAATTCCCGAGAAAGTGACTGACTAAGGAGCCATGCCTGTACATTCGAATCCGTGGGCGTCAATGAGAAAACTGAAAAACCACAAAAAAAGAAAAAAAAGAAAAAAAAAAGAGAAGAAGAAGAAGAAAATCGAGTTTAGATTAATAATATGTAAAACTCTTTTTATAAAAATTGTGATAATACTATTTTTTACTGGTTCGTTTCGTCCATCTTTTGTGTCCTCAGAAACCTCCGTTGCTCTGCTATGAACGACTCTACGGTGCGCCTAAACTCGTCGCTGTTCAACCTATCCACAGCATCATATGACGAAATTGCCCTCCTTCTCACCACTGATCTTTCTTTAATCTCTGTCTCCGATCGCCGGAGCTGTGGACGATGATTCGCTTGAAGGTCTCGCTTCAACTTCTCCGACTCAGTCCTCTGGAACCGCTGTATCTGCTTCTTCGCCTGCTCTATGGCGGTACTAGCCGCATCGCATTGCATCTGAGTAACCACATTTTCAGAGACGACGATCTGCTTGTCCTCATACGCCGTCTCCTCCATCTCTGCCGCCGTAGGAGGAGGCGGGGTCGGTGTTGCGCCGTCGGAGATGGAAGCGATTCTCTGGTGAGCCTCGCCGTTCCCGTACTCGTCACCGGTGAAGGAGTTGTTTCCGGCTTTGTTTTGGCGGGAAAGGAAGACTATGACGATGATGATTGCGTTTCCGATCACGAAATTAATGTGAGGATTGAAGAGATAATCGGAGAGTTGAACAAGGCACTGGCCGGCGAGTGAGACAATGATCGGAAGCCGAGTCGACGACCATGACAACAACGCGAAAGCGACGAGAAATTCGAGGATTCGCCACATTTTTGCAACGTTTCGGAGCCGGCGGTACCTGATCATCGCCTTGGCTTTCTCCGATTGAATACGGCGAGAATCCATATTTTCTCGAGAAAGTGACGGGAAAATGTCAGAAAGCAGAGGGGGCAAAAAACAGTGAAGAGAAACTGAAAATCAGCCTTTCGGTTCTACGTTCAAATGTTTGTAAGAAACAGAAATATGTATATAATTACAATATACAAGGGGGAATGGTGGGTTCTGCAACTGAAAACAGAGAAGATTAGGGAAAATTGCAGATTTTTCAGGAAAATTTAGGAAAGGAGAGATTGAAAAGGAAATGAAAAAGAAAATCTACATAGAAATGGAAGGAGAAGACTCTGTATACTTGGATATACAGAGACAGAAAACAACTCTTTGTCTCTTCGCCTTTCTCTTTCTCTTTCCGTTTCTCTCTCTAGGTTTGGTTTGTGAAGTTTGCTTTGGGTTGTTTTTTTTTGGGTGAATAACTTTGGGTTGTTGCGAGAATGGAGAAAATGAAATGCGTACGAATTTATTTATAGGGCTTTGTCAGAAAATATTGCATCCTTAAATTTCAGAATATTGGTAGTAGGAGAAAATGTAAAATAGAATTTTGGTTTAAAGAATGTGTCCACGACGTAAATGTTTGTTGTCTAAAAGCATCTCCAATGCACTAGGTATATAATACTTGTTAGTTAAAATGCCTAGTATGATTAATTTTTTTCAATTTCAATGCACTAGGTATATGATTAGGCATTTTGACTCAGCTCATATTCACTAGCTACATGTAGCTAGCCTTCAACACTAGGCAAAATGTATTCAATCATTAGGATCATTTCCCTCAATCTTTGTTGTTGACGTGGCATTCTATAAAATTAATAGTATTTGGATAAATAGCTAAAATAAAGAGCATGGTTGGAGTAAAAACATAAAACAGTTGATAGGCAAAATAAAATATATACTTTATAGTAATATTTAGATAGGTAAAATGCCTACTACCGTTGGAGATGCTCTTAATCAAAAATATATATATCTATAAATAACAATAAATAATGCATGTAATCGTGAATTATTATTTAGCCTCCGTTTGGCAAGAAAAAGCCCAGACTTTTTTGGCTAAAATAGCCACAAAAAACAAAATAGGCTATTTTAGCCACAAAAAATAAAACATCAAATTCAACCCATAATCATTACAATCCTCTCTCACAAAAAAAGTCAAAAAAGCCAAAAAGTCAAAAAGCCTTTCCCAAACCAGGCTAAAATAGCCCAGGCTAAAATAGTCAAAAAGCCAAAAAGTCAAAAAGCCAACCCACTTCCCAAACGGAGGCTGGTTTTGGATTTTGCCCCTTTGGGTGGATCCCGAGTCGATTTCGATAATTATAATTATTTTTATTATAGAAAAAATTATATAAAAAATTAAATTAATTAAGTACTTATAATCTTATGATCAGGGCCTAAATAATAAATAATTTATTATTAAAATTATATTTACGGTTTACTTTTTAAAAAACAAAGGTAAATGTTTTTTTGTATTTATAAATATTCAATTAATTTAATTTTTTTATAAATGGTCTATTCAATAAATCTTATAATATAAACAGTTTAAATTATCAAAATAAATCTGATAATGATCTCTATAAGAGATCACGGGATTTTGTTGTGCCTTCCCCATCTCCCTTGTAACATTTCTTCACATCATTTATTACTTAATATTTATCAAATTATTTTTTAAAAACACAATAAAAAATATTAAATTTTATTATTTTAACTAATAAATATTAAGTTGAGATATCACATGAATTTGGCTTGTTTTGGAAACTTAACTAAAATTCAGTTTTTTTACTTTTTAATTTTTTTAAGTCACACTATTTTTTTACTTTTGTATATAATTTTTTTTAAAAACTTAAAAATTAACTTTTAATCTATTTTTTAAAATAAATCTTTGTGTCCGAAACAAAAAAATAATTACTCACGTCAGTGAGAGTACGGTGAAGTGAGAAGCGAGTAAGTGAACCTAACTGTACATGAACCGAACCGCGACCGAGCCCCTACGACCACGCCTAGGTTGGTACGCAGATGGCTGACACCCAGTGTGATTTTTACGGCAGCGGGATTGGATACGGTTCGCCCCATCATGATCCATGGATGGCTTCTTTTGCCACGTTTCTTACTATGCTTTAAGACTTGAAATTTGATGGCAGCTGATGGAGAAGTTATTCGTTGGCCTTAGTTTAGAACTAAGGATCCTTTAGAGTGTTTTTTTCTTAAAGTTTCTTAAAGTGGTGTATTGTGTGGTTGAGATTTAATATTGAAAAATTGATGTGATTTGTCATTAAATCTCAACCACTCTAAGAAATTTTAAAAAAAAAAAACTCTAGAGGATCCTTACTCTTAGTTTAGTGCACTTTAATTAATAGAAGTGATGCGATTTACGATTTCATGTTTTGTGGTTGAAAAATATAAATAGATATTAGGATATATGATTAACCAGCAATATGATCACGTGAGTTTCATTATTTAGAGGTCATGTTATACCAAAAAGAATAATTATGGATAAATCTAACACTATACATAGACTGACCTTATTAATTCTTTTTTTGAATTACATAAGACTAGCCCCTAATTTCCTCATAAACTTATCCATGAGTTTTTTACTGTATATATTTCATGAATAAATTATGGATAAATTCATTTAATTTGTATTTTTTATTAAACTTATATTTCATTTTTTTATATATATATTTTAAGTGAGACAAAAACTTGATAAATATAGTTTAGTTATTGTCCAAATAATGGCGCAATTCTACTGGCTTACTTTACTGCGAAAAGTATTCGTTTACCCCTTTTTTATTTTATTTTATTTTTTTTAAACTCAAACTCAAAAGTACTGACCTCAAAGGAGATAGAGAAATAAAATTTTAATTTAATTGAGAAAATCTGATTAAATATATTGGGTCACTTATGATTCCGTTATTCTAATTTACGTGTGAATCTTATTTCTATGTATTTGTTTGAGTTCTTTCTAGCGTTTGCTCAATTTATTGAATTTATACTAAGGCTTATTTTGGAAAGATGGTAAAAAGTGACTTTTTGACTTTTAACCAAGTTTTTGACTTTTTTAGACAAATGATTTGGGAAGGTAATAAAAAGTGACTTTTGACTTTTTTTATTAATATTTGTTTATAATGTCAAATCATAATGAAATGACCAAAGTATTCCTAGTCAATTGAAAAATTACACATTTTTACCCTTTCATTTTCCATCTATGGAGGGTAATTTCGTAATTTTTCTTTTGGCTTATAACCAACATCCCAAATCAATTTATGGCAAAAAAAAAGTCACTTTTTACGTTTTGACAAAAAACCAAAACGCCACTTATAACCTTCTTCCCAAATTGAGCCTAAGCTTCATTCCTAGATTCAATTAAATAATTATTAATATTTAATCAATTTAATTTTTTATATAAATAATATATTTAGCAGGATCTATAATATGAAAAGTTTAAATTCTCCGGACATATTTAGACTGTGTCCATAATCTCATTAATTGGACTCTCAAACCAATTCCCTCCTCCAATTTAAATTACCTATTTAATTAACAATAAAAAAAAACGAACAAAGAGAATGAAACTCATAGAATTCTTATGTATATTCATAGTAGCATACTTACAAATTCAATAACTATTGGATTGTTGGTGGCATGATATGATGGCCTCGTTTCGGAAGTGACTATTTTAAAGGCTTTTTAGTTTTTTGGTTATTTTAGTAGGCTATTTTAATTTTTGTGTTTGAGAAGATGAGATGAATTTTTATTTGAGTTGTTGTATTGAAAAATGTGTTGAAATGATGTTTGAAATTAAAATGACAAATTTGTCCTTAAAATTACAATTTTTTAAATTGATATAAAAGGGCAAAATCATAATTTATCCGTTGATGTACCAATTTGTCAATTGACAGTGTAGGCTGTGCCTACACTGCCGGCAGCTGCAACCTATTTTTTATTTTTATTTTTATTTTTTTTTTGAAAAACTTTAAACAGTGAGACTTTTTAACTTATTTGTAATTTGAGACTATAATAGCCTCAACCCTTTCTTTCCAAACAGAGCCGATATCAATCTTTTAAAGCTTGCCAACAAATTATCATAAATGAGTGTTTCACTCACTCCTTGTATTCTATCACTTTTGGACCTATTTTGACAATTACGAAAAAAGTTTGTCACATTGATTCTTTATTTTTTTACATATATTTTCAAAAAAAAAAATCTTAAAAAATGAACTTTTTTTTTCCCTTACTTTCCAAAATAGGCCCATGTAGAGTCAAAATAAAATAAAATAAAGTGGTGTAACAGTGGACCTTCCTCCCCAAAATTGAAATTTTCCGTGGATTGAAATTGGGGCAACAATAATAAGGCATCTAAAGTTAACTTTAATGTTAGAACCAGACTTTGTACCTGTTGTAGTGAAATGTTATGAAATACAACTATATTCTATAATATTAATTTAATAATCTTCTGAAAAAACTATTGACAAAGACATGTGGATCTAGTATAAAATTTGCGTTATATATGTGTTTTTAGTTCCTCCTTAGATTCAACTAGTAATTGATTATATAAAACAAAACAAAATCAAAAAAAAAAAAAGAAGAGTTTATGCACTTCGAAAAATTATCAGAAAGCTACTTAGAAATTCAAATCTAACATGTATATTTAAACTTTTTGTTGTGTGCTTTACCATGATTGAATCTTAACTTTAAATTTAAAATATTGGGTAATTTTATGAGTCTTTTTCTACATGTATGTAGTGATGTTCAACTTCAAACTTATTTGGTGCAACTTCCTGCACTACAATATATATATATATATATATATATATATAAGTTTTACAGATTAGGTTTTTTCTATTTCTAAAAGTATAAATTTTGTTACAAAAAATATATAGGAACTAAGTTCAATTGTCACGAGAATAATTGTTAAAAAAGTCGTCCTAAAAAGTTAAAAATAATCTTTTTGGGACAAAATATCTTTGTCCCAAAAAGTTTTTAATTTTTTAGACAAAACTTTTGGTCCCAAAAAGTTACTAGTTCATTATTAAATGTCCAATTTTATTGCTAAAAATAAAATAATGACACTTTTGGCAATAAAATTATTTTGTCCATAAAATATGATTTTGTTCCAAAATTTTTGTATTTAAAACCTTAATTTCTTGTAGTGTTGCAAACTAAAAGTTGATAATAAATAAAAATAAAAATAAAAATAAAAACTAAAAGCATCCTTCTCCCTATTTATCAATAATTAACTATTTTAAACTTATTTAAGTTGCTTATGTCTTACCAAGTAGAATTTGCACAAACACTCTTAGTTTTTCAAAAAAAAATAAAAATATTATAAGCAGGCCCATACTATACCAAACAACAGGAAGAATTTTGTTTCGAGTCCAAGAAATCCAAGTCTTTTTTCACAAGCATTGAGGGGGAAAACTTTAAATCAAATTAATTGGAGGA